AGGAAGGGAGATCAGGGATCACCCTGATCTCTGGGGGTAGTTCATTCCAGAGGGTGGGAGCTCCCACAGAGAAGGCCCTCCCCCTTGGGGTCGCCAGCCGGCACTGTCTGGCCGACGGCACCCTGAGGAGACCCACCCTGTGGGAGCGTACAGGCCGATGGGAGGTAATCTGCGGCAGAAGGCAGTCTCGAAGATATCCAGGTCAGCTGCCCAACATGCGCAACTGCTAAGGTAACATGGCCAGCTGCCCAACATGCGCAACTGCTAAGAGGTTGCAAGGGAAATCGCCCAGACTGTTACAACCAGTGACAAATCCCTCACCCCTCTGGAAAGAAATATCCATGGATTTTATATTGGAATTACCAGAAAGCAATGAAAACACTGTCATCTGGGTGGTTACGGACTTGTTTTCCAAACAGGTGCACTTTATCCCTTGCCAAAAGATTCCCATCGCAAAAACCTTAGCGAAACTATTCATGCAACACATCTACAGACTCCATGGGGCACCCCAACATATCATATCTGATAGGGGAGTGCAATTTACATCAGCATTTTGGAAGGAATTTTTATCCCTCTTAGGAACCACTCAGGGACTGTCATCTAGTCATCATCCTCAATGTAATGGACAAACCAAACGTTGTAACTGAGTACTTGAGCAATACTTAAGATGCTTTATTAATTTCCAGCAAACAAATTGGACAGACCTACTCCCTTTTGCAGAAGTGGCCTACAATAATGCAGTACACTCCAGCACAGGCTACACTCCCTTTCAAATAGCCACCGGTCAAAGTTTCAACCCTTTGCTAGAACTAATCCCAAACGAACCAGCAATCCCATTGCTGAAAGAATAGATAGCACAATTACAAAACACTGGCTAGTAGTTAAGAAAGCCTTAGACGAAGCTAGGCAAGCATACAAAGCATAAGCAGATAAAAAGAGAGTTGAACCCATATCATTCATTGTAGGAGAAATGGTATATTTGTCTACAAAATACCTAAAATCCCTACAGCCTTGTAAAAAACTTGGCCCAAAATATATAGGACCTTTTCCAATTAAAAGAATCATAAACCCAGTAACAGTAGAATTAGAACTACCCAAAAACCTCAGGCAAATACACCCAATTTTTCACTGCAGCTTGCTGAAAAGAGAACAATAGTCGCCCTTACGGCCAAAAATCCCCCCCCTCCAATCATGGTTGGAGAACAACACTTCGAGATAAAAGAAATTCTAGATTCTAGGAAGTATCATAGGGCAACTCAGTACCTAATAGCATGGAAACACCTTCCCTCCTCACAAAACGAGTGGGTCCATAAACGTCATGTTAGAATACCAAAGTTGCTAAAGAAGTTTTATACAGAATATCCCAACAAACCACACTAACCTCTATACCTGTTTTGTTTCTCTACAGGTGGATCTCTCTTATTTTTAAGGGGGGCAGGATGTCAGAACCCATTTATATTTCATTTCTATCTATCTCCTCTGATCTAAACCAAATCTCACCTTCCCCTGGATTCTGCCATACTTCCAAGGGGGAGGGGGATATGCCTGCGGGGTTAGGGCTTTCACTTCCTCTATTCGCTACAATGTAACCTTTTGTTTATTGCCTCTGGGTCTGCTGCCCATTACAATGTAACAAATTGCCTCCTGCACTATGTATCTCTCTGAACTTTCTTCTCCCTAACCTGGCAGTTAGGAAAACGGGGGAGGGAAGAAATTCAAACATCCAGAACTTGGTTTATTTCTCCAGTCTCAAAAGGAGGTGTGAAGAGTGTGGAACATCGTGCTACAAACAGAGCTGGGCTGATGTTATCTTCCCTTTCCCATGATGGACCTAACAACTGGGGATTGGCTGGTCTGAACTGTCCGGATGAACTGTGGGGTGGGATTTGCTTAGGGACCCTTTAAAGCAGGGGTGTCCAAACTTTTTTCAAAGAGGGCCAGATTGGATGAAGTGAACGTGCTGGAGGGCCGAACATTTTTCCAAACATTCTTTGAACCATTACAATTAAATGCAAATGAATTATTGTATGCCTCTTTCCTCTCCCTCTCTTTCCTCTTTCTCTCTCTCTCTCTTTCCTTTCCCTTTCCTCTCCCCTCTC